AGAACGAAAGCAGAGCTCTGACGGAGGTGCGGCACCGTAACATAGTAAAACTCCATGGATATTGCTCGAGAAAAGGGGCGATGTACCTCGTGTACGAGTATTTGGAAAGGGGGAGTTTGGGAAAGGTTTTGTATGGGGATGAAGGTGCCAAGAAGCTGGATTGGGCGAGAAGGGTGAAGATCGTTCAGGGTATAGCTCATGCCCTAGCTTACCTCCACCATGATTGCAATCCACCGGTCGTCCACCGCGACATCTCGTTGAATAACATTTTGCTGGACTCCGATTTCGAGCCGCGGATCTCTGATTTCGGAACGGCGAAGTTGCTCGATCCTGAATCCACGAACTGGACAGCAGTCGCAGGATCATACGGTTACATGGCACCTGGTAATTCCAATTCCAGTACAATTTCATTTCTGCAATGAATTGAATCTCTGTTTTGACGCTTATTAAATCCCCCTTTTTTACGTTTGTGCAGAGCTTGCTTACACGATGAAGGTGACGGAGAAATGCGACGTGTATAGCTTCGGAGTAGTGACACTGGAGGTGATGATGGGAAAGCATCCGGGAGAGCTCTTATCGTCCCTGCTGCCATTGTTGCCGGCGAGGGAAGGTAATAATAACGTACTGGTCAAGGAGGTGTTGGATCAGAGGTTGACGCCGCCGACCGGTCAATTAGCGGAGGAGGTGGTTTTTATAATAAAGATGGCTCTTGCGTGCGCGCGAACCGAATCGGGTTCGCGGCCGGAGATGCGGTTCGTTGCGCAGGAGCTATCGGCGCGGAGCCTGTCTTACCTACCCGAGCCATTGGGTGCCATTAAGATTAGCAAATTGCTGAGTTTTCAGAAATGAAAGGAACTGGAACTGTGGCTCGTATCATTCTTTGTGGTCAAAGAAGTGTACGAAACTTGCGTAAGCTAATTAATTTGTTCTGACATGTCTTAGATAAATGTCTATAGTATTTTTGACATTTTGAAGCAATAATAGTAGGAGAATTTTATAGTGGAAATTAAACGATGGCATGTTCGTGGTAGTGCAACATATTAAATGATTTTCTTGGGGTATTTATGAATGATAATTATACACTCATAAACGACATTCGTGGGCTAGTATTTATAGCTAACGGGCCTTCCCGAGCTTGCCAACCTCACGGTTTCATTGAACTGCAACTTTGTGCGTGTTTTTTCATGTGGCACGGCCCCAATCTGAGAATTTGCGGTCGAACTTGGTGTTTGGATTTCGCGTTTGAGGCTACCCGCCGCTAAAAAAGGTGGAACGCGAGCCGTGGGATCAAACCTGCGGTCCCACATTATGGAGCTGATTTTACCTCCTTGACCCGCGCTCCCCCGGCATTCGCTGTGACTTGACGCCACGCAACCTGTAGATTTTCCTCTCCAACGAGCTCCTAGTTTGTCTCCATTTCCCACGTCCCTCTCCCATCCTACTCCGAGGCGAGCAATTTCAAAATGCCGTGCCGTAACTCTTCTTTCAGCCCTTCCTCGTCGACGATTCTTGCTGATTTTGCTGTGCAATTGGATTATTGCATACATACACCGCATGCAGAGATGCATGCGGTGTCTGATCCTGACCGTAAATCACGGTGATCTACGGTCAGGATGCAATCAAATTTTTTTTGAAAAAAAAATTTTAAAGTGGGGCCCACCGAAATACATCATAATCGTAGATCACTGTGATCTGCGGTCAGGATCAGACACCGCATGCAGGATACCGCGTGCATCTCTGCATGCGGTGTATGTATGCAATAATTTTTCCTGCGAAAGTGCTCTAACTATTCTCTTCTGTGCAGATAACTAGGCTGCCCTCTGTCGTCCCTGCAATTATGAGGTTTCCTTTTTGTGCTCTAGTTTCTCTATTCTCCATCTAGAATTTTTATTTGTCACGGATTTTGGTTCTCGAATGTTTTTTTTAGTTACTATGTGAGATTGGGGCTAGGCAGTTAACTGGATTTGCATTATTTTTTTTATACATTTTTGCTGTGGAGTATATTATTTTCATTTTTCTCACTCTTCTTTATATAATTCAGGGTTTTGTAACAGTTAAAGCCCAAAAATGTGAGTTCGTTTACTGCACGAGTGCACTTATAGTTTATTAATCGTTGAGATTAAATGGATTTGTTTCTGAAGCTCTGCTAGCTCCAATAGATTTAAAGGTCTGTTTGGGGGCAGCTATTGATTATTTATAATCTGCTGATAAGCAGATTATTCTGACAATCTGATAATTTGCAGATTATCAAGATAAGTTGATTTGTTGTTTGAGAGAGCTTATTCAGAACAACTTATTTGCTGTTGTTTTTGCTGTTGTTGTTGGATAACCCAACAGAAATACTTGAATTACACCTAGACTCCAATAGAAGTACTTGAATTACACCTATACTCTAACTAGAAGTACTTGAATTACACCTAAATTACACCTATACTCTAACAGAAATGGAATGAAGCATTCATCTTCAAATAATGCAGAATGTAAGTCAAAAAATTTTTTAAGAGACAAAAAAACTTATCTTTTCCTTCACTATTCTCCATAATCACTAACAAATCAAACATAAAAAATCCAAAAATACAAAATTTCATACCGAACAAAAAAAGACAAGAAGAAGTTTCGATTTTACCTGTGCGAATCAGAAAGGATAACAAGAAGACAGAGGCCTTCGGCTTGAGAAAAGAGGAAGCATGGAGGGTTGCGGCTACACTTAAAGAGGAGAGGAAATGGCTTCCTCACAGTTGGACTAGTTACAAACCAAAGAATGAAGGAGAGGAAGTGGCGTTTAGACTGATTTGCAAAATCAAAACCGTTGGGGAGGGGGAATAGTTGGGTCTTCGATTCGGAGAAAGGGAGCGGCTGGAGCTTCGAGTAGGACAGCGAATGGGAGGCTCCGTTTGGGGGAGAAAATACGAATGGAGAGGAGGAATCAGAGAGATGGCGCCACCGAACGTGAGCCTCGGAAGACAACCACCGAAAGTGGAGAAGAAGAGAGGCCAGGGCTTGTCACAGTCGCTTCCGAACCCAGCAGACATTTCAGCGCAGGAGTGAACATCGCAGTCGCTTCGGCTGGTTGTCATAGCTCGTTTGTGAGAAGAGAGAAGGTGAGAGAGGCGAGGGAGAGCAGAGATGAGAAGGGCAGAGGATGAATTGTTACCCTAACGCGAGTTCTGAATGCAGGACGCAGGGATAGTCCCGCGATCGCTCTTATTAACAAAATGAGGACCCAAAAGGGCCCTAAGGGCCATTTCTAGCATGAAATGACTATTTTTTTTTTCAAACAAAGCAATTATTTCAAAAAACAATAGTGGTCTACCTAGTGATTTGGAGAAGTTTTAAGCTTTGGAGGTAAATAATCAAATGAGGGCATGCTGACAAAAAAGGAGGTCGCTAATATCCTCCCACCAATGGTTAATATTAGAAGTTTTTTTTTGAAATAACAAATATATGGGTGTCACAGTTTTGTTATAAACAAATTTACTAAGTAGGGGTCGAATGATCATTTTTTCAGAAACAACTGCTCTACAGTTGTTCTCACACAGCTACAACAAACAAATAACCAACATCCCCGCAGCAGATTCCCAACAGCAGCTTCCTGGGGCAGCACAACTACAACTGAAAAGCTACAACTGCCGCAAACATACCCTTAATGGCTGTTTGATAGCAACAGGATTTAGAATCTTGCCAAACAACAAAAATGAAATCTTTAACTCATGCAGGTTTGTCTTACATCCATGATTAATTAAATATTGTTGGAAGCAAAGATTTATAGGATTTAGAGAAGAGGAAGTGAAAGAAAGAGGAGGTTACCATCCTCGATGCTTTCTGGTAGTAGCGGAGTTGAAGAAGGAGAAGGTTGAGAGTTTTAGATTTCTTTGTACTTTGTTATCCCGTTGTTGATTTCGCAAAGCTATCGACCGCACCTGTTGCGGATCGACGGTAACCGGACAAACAATTGTTAATAGGGTTATTATTTTAACGGTGGAGTGTTGCTTTTTTGTGTTTATTTTGATATTTTAATTTTGAAATATGTAAATAAAAGAGTTTTGGTGTGAAATAACGAAAGTTTTAGGTTCTATATATATGTAAATCCCCCTAAAATGATTTAATATTCTTTGGAGCATAATTATGTTCTCTTCTAGCACTTCCTTCACATGTTTTCTTTGGGGTTGTAGGAGCCCACAAACAATACGAGACCTAACGTCCTAAAAAAATACAACAATAACAATATATGACTTCCCTTATAGAATTATTCTCTATTGTAAATGATGCCAAGTCATTTACATTATGTCATCATTTGTGGTAAATTCTAGTATTATACTTGATATATTATCAAGGAATTTATACTTTAGACATAAATCTCGATGTATTTTAGGTAGAAGATATTTAAATTATAGATTCAGGATCTTCTAAGTTTTGATTTCAACAAAATTATACTGGTGCTGAGCATCTCGACAATACAATTCTCATGATGTTGAAACTAATTAAATCTAATTTCAAATAAACTCAAATAAAAAAAATTTAAGTGTTGTCAAAGGCTTTGGTACATCAATTGGAAGTGTTGTCAAGGACTTTTGTATATAAATTGGAAGATTGAATAATCTCTAAATATGGCTTGCTTTTATAGTCAAATCAAGCTACTCGACAAGGGAAATCTTACAAGTCCAAGATTATCTAATTTTGAGTTCATTAAAACATTTAAATATTGAAAAAAAAAATAATTTATGATCAAGGGAATTAATGTGTATGCTTGTTAAATTTACTAAAATACCCCTAAAAAAAGAATAAATTGACCAATATTCTTCACTTGAGAAGGGAGATGAGGATATAAGAGTGAGCTAACAACTTAACTATCAATTGTGAAAGGAAGTGCAAGGGAACAACCACCAGTTGTTATCGACCATACTAGCAGTTATTGCAACCAATTATAACTATTTTTGCACGAACTATAGTTGTTGTAGCCCAAATACATCTTTTAAAAACAACAACTGCCATTATTACCACCGAACATAGTTGTTGTAGTGCAATTACAAGTATTTTAGCCAAAGTATTCCTATACAATTATGACTGTCAATTTTTTGTAATCTCATCTTTTCTAATTCAGAAGAAGAGTGACTATTTTTTACTTTCAATTATCTAATGAATTAATTTGACTTGACTAAGCTTTATAGATTTTTTCTTTTGTAGGATTTTTTTTCACATAAAAATATGATTAATCTTAAATTTCTATATATATGTTTATTGAAAAATTATACTAAGCTAAGACTAAAAATTTCTTTGTTGTTGATATTATCTTAGCTATTTTATGATAAATAAATGCTAGAAATTATTTAAATTTTTAAATTTAGCAAATTATTTGATACTTTCATGATGCATATGCCTTTAATGATATACATGATTTTTAAAATTTTAGGTATACAAAAATTGATCCAAGAAATTATTGTAAATGAGCGTTTTATTTAAGTTTTTAGTCAGCAATTTGTCAAGAGAAAGAAGAAAATGTTCGAAAATACTAATGAATGAGTGGACCAATGTTCAAGCTTGCACAGTCTTACTTGCTGCCCTAATTACACTCAACAAAATTTGTCGTCTAGCATGGATCTCGACGAGCCAAACAAATCTCGACTTAGTTTTTTGAGCAGAGAAAGTTCAAATTTCTATTAAAAATCTTCAGAACTCTTATTTCAACAAACATACCATCAAATTGACAGATTCAGTGAGACAAACTCAATGAAAATGGAATTGATTGAGTCAAATCAAGCCCAAATTTAACCATTAAGCCATTATTGGAAGCTTCTCCAATTGTTAAACTTATTCAAATCTAACAAGCTTATAGTCAAGTCAAGCATCTCGATGAGATTAATTCAACGAACTCAAGATCACTCAATTCTGACACGTTAAAGGTACTCAAATATCTGCATAATGTCATTTGATCAAGGAGATTTCTCTAAGTCATCCAATTGAGTAGTTCATATTATTTCCTTATTTTCCCGGAGATCTTTCCTAGTCTATAAATAAAGCTCTTGTCCTTCATGAAAGGGGAACAAGACCTTACACCGAAGGAAGCCTAGAGCTCAGAAGAGAAGGAGCTGAGGTTCAAATTCTAAACTGGACATTCATCGAACGTCAACCGCTTCTGCAGTCGACAACCACTTTAACCATCCCTCATCGACCTTTGTTGACCTCCATCGAGCATCATCTGTTCATTGCAGGGAAGCCTCTCACAGAGTGACGACATATGCTACGAAGTAACGAAGCATTACGCGAAGTAACAACTAGCATTGCAGAGTAAAGAAGGATTCTTTGAAGCAATGCATCTCAAAGGCTATGTAACAACACACTCTGAAGATGGCACACCAACAGATATTAAAGATGGTGTAAAATGTGTCTTGAAGATGGTTTACCAACATCTCAAAATTAGTGCAATGATGTGCCCTCATATGATACAACGATGCCTCCCAAAGCTGGTGTAACAAAGCACCACACAATAATTGCTTAAAATTGTTGTCGTCAGGATACAATGACTTTCTTCGAACTTCTGAACCTCCCTCATTGCATCACACCACTACTCCTATCTTTATTCACAGTTCATGCAAGTCCCAACTCTAGAACAGTATCTATGTTGTTCACAGCTTATGCAAGTCTCGACTCTGGCCTCTGCGGCCTACGAGTGTTATGATAGCTCATGTAGCTTCCAACTTCGACCTTTATGGCCTACAAACAATATTATAGCCCGTGCAGCTCTAAATTCCAGACCCTGTGGCCTACGAACGTTATCACAGCTCATGTATCTTCGAACTCCAACCTCTCAGCTCATGCAACTCTTAACTCCAGCCTCAATAACCTATGGACATTATCACAGCTCTGCATCTCCCAACTCCAGCCTCCATGACATACATATATTTTCACAATTCTTGCAACTCCCTACTACGGCCTCTTGGGCCAACCGATGCTCATGAAACAACTATCTACTACTCATATGACCAGTTACTACCATGACTTTCAACTACAACCTCTACAACAAACATGTGCTACAACCATCGTCTATAACATTCATGACAAACTATTACCTTTATAGATATCAATTACAATCTATGCGGTTTGCCACGACTATTATTATTGAAACAATGTTGTATATCAACATTGTAATTTTATCTTCTCTAACTCAAAAGCAAACTAGGTATGTGCATGTGTCATAACATAGTGAATTATTTCAACTTAACTAGACCCGAAGATTGTTCCCCTTTACCAGGGCTTTTCATGTAAGAACTTCTGATGCGTTGGATTTTCGTGCAAAGCAAATAAGCTAAATAATCACTCCATCAAGTATCTGCTAACATGTATCAACTATGATGTTCATTAACACAAATTAATATATGAATTAGCTAAACTATAATATTATTATATTTCTCATCTGAAAAACTTTAGCAAAATGCTAAAAAAAAAAATTAAAAAATGTCCATTAAGTCAAAACTCTCACCCCTCTAACAATCATTATAATTATAAAATTCAACTACCAACATCAACATTTTGTTTAAGTTGTTCCTAACAACTTAAAATAATATGTTCACACTCAAAGCTTTGCTTGGATTCCACGTTTATCTGCTCCTTCAGCTTCAAGTAAAATAATATATATATATAATTAAAGAATAATTAAACTCAAGAATTTAATCGACATATGGCAGCAATCATATTTAATTATTCATGCAAATATTATTCATGTAAATATTATTGTTGGTATATTATTCACAGATAAATAAAGCAAGTCAATTATGAAAAAAATATCAATTATGAAAAAAATAAAAATATGAAAAAAATAAAAACTTGTGTTAATATAAACTTGTGTTAATATTATACATGCAAATATTATTCATGTAAATATGTTGTTGGTATATTATTCACAGATAAATAAAGCAAGTCAATTATGAAAAAAATAAAAAATAAAACAATTTAGAAAATAGAAAATATAAAAAAAAGGTCAATTTAGACGGCGAGGAAATTATTTTTATAGAAAATAGGCGTGCTTGGGAAAAAACATATGTATCAGAATTATGTTCGGGCAGAAAAAAATTATTCCATACGGACACCGCGTGCAGAGATGCATGCGGTGTCGTCCAATCTACACCGTCGATTACCACAAAGATATATTTCGGTGGGCCCCGCATGCGGTGTCCGTATGAAATATTTTTTCCCGGGCAACAACCGTGAACATTTAGGAGAATTTACATGCATACCACTTACATATCTATATTAAAGTTTAGGTGTTAGTGTAAATAAGAAGGGATTAAGCGTATATATATCTAAACCTTTCAATAATGAATCATTTACATACATACCACCCCATTTTTACGTATTACATATTTAACACCTAAATCTTGCTTTTTCTTATTAATAGCACCCAAAATTTTCACATCACATAAGAAAAACTAGTATTATAACTTTTAAAAAGAAAAAAAATTACTTTCCATATACAAGTAAAATGACTTTTATGCAAAAAATTGAAATTTAGATATTATATATATAATTACATAAGAATTGAGTGGTATGCATGTAAATATTCCTCTCTCTCTCTCGTACACAGCGTTGCATACGTCAGGGGTTATTCAGGGCGTACATGGGGGTTATATCCAGGTTATACCCCCTGTAACCTCCGTGTAATTCCATTATAACCTCCGTGTAACTTATTTGTACCTATGAAACTACAGAAGTGCGGAACTCATTTGTAGGTTATATGTAGTTTACAAAGAGATTACAAGAGAATTACAGAGGAGTATAACCCCGATATAACCATCCTGTACCCCCTTTATAACCCCTGGACGTACGCATCGCTACATACGTCTTATGTACGCAAATATTTTCCATCTCTCTCCCATCTCTCTCTATATATTGTAGAATTATAATAAACATATATGAATAAAGTTCTAAGTTGCCTTGGAGCATATATACTAATAAATATATTTTGCATTTGCCAAAAAAAATTCCTCCATATTAAAATTTCATAAAAAAAATTTGATTAATATGTCTTTTGATAGAATTTTTTTTTTTGAAAAAAAAAATAAAAATAAATAATTTAGTTCAAAATAATAAACTACTAATTTAGATATGATATGGAGACATCATGAGAAATAGTCATCCTTACATCAACAACAAAGTAAATTTAGTTAATCTATATCATTTAATTAAGTATAGTCGTCAGCAATGAAAGACTCCACCAGTTTTTTAAATATTAGAAAAGCAACGGCTACATACACAGATTGAAGCAGTCATCTTTATTCCAGCAAAAAAGGAAGCTTATTTGTAGAATGTGAACGGCAACGTTTTGCATCCTTTCAATGGACAGAAAAGATCTGGAGGTAACCCAGCAGGCCTTTCGGGTATCTATGCCTGATCTAACAAGCAAATGAGTATGAGCAGTCTAGTATGAATTATCGAGTACAAGTTACTGAGAATGAGTTGCTAAGAATGAGTCGGCAGATAAAGCATATCAATTAGATTTCATTCATTTTAGAATTGAAAACTTAGATCCCGATGTGAATTTTCGTTTTAGATGTGGAAATTAGACTTCTCACTTGAGTGTGCAATGAAAATTGTTACATCTTATGAAATATCTCATCTTAACAACATATTTCGGTGTGCACTCAATCGCGTATGGGGTTTGCGGCAACGGCATGCTTAGTACTATGATTGACTTTCCATTTGGAAAATAAAATGTGAAATAAATAAACTTGTACAAGGTTTGGTGTAGTTATGGTGACAAATATTATATCTAAGAATTAGATATAATGCAAGCCGGATCATTTAACATTTTAGTAATGTTAGTTTCGTCGAAGATTATTGTTGGTCGAGCATTGATTCTTAATTCATTAGGATGACTCCCTCTAATATTGTATGCCAGTGTAGCTAAATTAGCCTTCGCACAAATATATTTATGTCATATTTTGTCTCTGAGTGAAGAACAAATCATAAATCTAAGCATCATCGTCCCAGCAACTTTTAACTACTCTTAAAACATAATGTGAAAGTGGTTTAATAAAAGTTGATGAGACAAGAATACTTAGGTGGAAAAGTGGTTTTACGCTTGCAGAGAAAATGTGAAAAAATTATACTCGTGAAATAATTGTTGTAGCTACAGTGACAATCAAGATTGGAGGAAAATATGGATAAAATGTTCATCAATAATTAGTGTTCGACAGCCCTAGCAACCTCTGCATGTTGTTAAAGTTCTGAAAGTTATCTAAAACGTTCATTCCTTTTAAAATGTGTTAATTATTGTCAGGTTTCATCATTTTTTACTACCAATCGACCAATAGATTTACTAAATTAATTAAACACAATGTATTAGACTAACCACATTCTAAGTAGCGTCGTAGTGGATGCTAAGGAAAATTTGGATAATGTTTTGAGATTAGCGGAAATGATAATCAATGTCGCAAGCATTGAGTGTTTAGAGGGCTGTTTGGTTGAGTGAATTTGTGTTGTGTTGTAATTCTTTTGCAAGAATTAGAGAAAAATTATATGTTTGATATGAAGAAGTACAAATATAACGTAAGGAATAAATGAATTTGAAGTTTAAATCGTAGTTCATTTTGGTTGAATTTAGAATTCGGCCTATTTGGCTAAATTTGAATCAACATTCATGTAAAATATTATAGGCAAGCCGCTGGCCTCCGCCCACCTTCGCCGATTGTCCATTGTGCCGCCACCCACAACCCCCAACTTCAAATCAAAAAAAGAAAAAAAAAACTATATTTATTTTACAATGAACAGAAAAACTTTAAAGTACTTCAAATACATTGTAAATCATGTACTCTACAAACTTTTCATATTACATCTCATTTTCACCAAGCCAAACAACCCCTTAGAAAGGATTTGAGTGCGGTTCAGTATTCTTATGAGAGATTCAAGTGAATAAAAAAATATAAGCAAATATACGTAGGCTACTAAAAAATTAAAATTCAGCTTCAATTGTGATTTCTATTACACCTCTACCATAAAAGGATGCACTACTGTTCTAACAGAGTTGCTTTCCAAGGTTTAAACTTCTGGAATTGTTTTTCAAGCACATTTTCTTAGTGCAGTTTAAAAATAGATGAAAATTAATATTTTTTCAAATAAATTCATAAATTTATTTTTCATTTTTTTTACTTAAAATTAAATTTATTGCATTTAAAATGCTTTAGATAATATATGGAGCCTAAGATAAATTTTGATTTCCAATAACTAAGCATACAAATTGTTGGAATCCTAAGAAAAAAAGATACATGATAAAATAATTATGCTTATCCCCCACAAATAGTTAATAATATATCATATAAATATATGATTATTAATATAATAAGGAGCTATAGTTATACGCAACAAGCTATCACACCCTTTGCTTATGCTGTAAGGCAAAGAATAGCCAAGAGATTCAAAGCAGTAGGGATAGGTTAATGAGTTTTTAAGCAAAAATTACACTAATAAATTTCAAATTATTGGGATAAGGCTAATGATGATGATGATATTAGACCAAAAATGATTAGCGTTATCTACTAAATTGGGAAAGAAGACAACAATAATATACTAATAAATACATGTGATTGTGCGCTCTTTGATTGCTTAGAGTTTTAATATTTTAGATCAAATGCATCAATCATAAAATTGGAGTAATGTTCAAAACTTATGATAATAAATTAAAAAAAGATATAATTTGAGTTGAATATCCCTATAGATTCCTAAACAAAGAGATGAAAAATCTTAATTTTTTATGTTATTAAACAACAACAAAGCCTTAATCCCACTACGTGGGGTTGGCTACATGATCCCTTTTTCTCCATTGCATCCTATTTAGTGTCATATTTTCATGTAGTTCTAATAAATTAATATCTTTTTTTTAACAATAAGCCCAAGTCTTCCTAGCTCTACCTCTGCCTTTCTTAACATAAGTCGAATCTAAAACATCTACTCTTCTTATCGGATCATCAGATGGTTGACGTTTAATGTGACCAAACCATCTAAGGCGATTCTCTCTAATGCTCGTCCGTCACTGGAGCTACACCAACGCTCTCACGGATATATTCATTTCACATTTTGTCTCTAACTGTAAAGCCACTCATCCACCTAATCATTCTCATCTTGGCAACACAACTTAGTATTATGCTTCTCTTTTAAAGGTCAAAATTCAGCGCTATAGAGCATTGCACGTCTCATCACCATCTTTTTATGTTATTGAATTATAAATGTATAATAAATATGCAAGGTAAAAATTTTTTTTGGAAAAGCAAATGGACAAATCTCTAATTAGTCTCAGAATAATAGTTTTAGAAACCAAACCAAGCCAGGGCCAATTACTGACTCCAAATCTATAACTGAAGTTATTTTTTAATTTTTAATTATTTATTTAATTATTTTGGGTTCCAAACAATTCTACCTAACCTTTAATCTCCCATTTGGGATATCCAATATAATACCGTATGATTGATTGAAAAGTCTTAAAGTTCCTGGAGTCATTTTGGAATTTGCTCAACTTACCTAAATTTTAAGCAGCCCTACAACTATTTCAGAACAATAACAAATTATCTAAACATTTGCTAACTAATAGATAATTCAACTGAAACAAATTTATACATGAAATGCAGCCCTTTAATAGTCGCACAATTTATTGAGAGATGCTGAAACAAAAGTACACTGTTGCTGCAACAAGAAATGAGACTAGACACACATTGACAAGAGAAGGCTAGCTCAGTAAGAAAAAAAAAAAAAACAACAAAAGAATAAAAAAATCAACTGGTTAAATTCTATCACAGACTACTTTCCTGGTAAATTTTTAGTGCTAGAAGTGATAAGAAACCATACGATTAAATCAAGCAGTGTATTCCACATTACTGCGTGTTTCAGAGTTGAGGGCTCTTTCCAATCTTGTTTCGAACGGAGTGAAGTATAAATTCACCCGTTTATCCTGCAAAAAACATAAAAAGCAATCAGTTTGCTTCGATTTTACAGAAAACTCATGCCTCCTATTCATTTTTTTTTCTTCACCTCTCTGTATTTGCCAGTTGTGTTTGGAATCCCTCTTTCCTCAGATATAGAGCTCCATGAAGAAGACGACTCCTCCCCAGATTTAGAACTCCAGTATCCACCCACTGTTCCCACAATAGGAACTTCTTCAGCACTCCAGCTCGGGGACTTCCTCGGTGATGAAGTTCTGGATGAGTGCTTTATGTCTTCAATGGTTAGAGCTCCTAAAATCGGGCGCTCCTCCTGGCTTATTGAAGAATTTGAAAGCATTGAATTGCTCCTTTGCGGTTCAGGTTTCGAATTATTTGGAGAAACCAACCAGTTTGAAAGGCTTGCATCCAAGGCGATCTCTTGCTTGCCAAAATCATCAGGATTTGGGTTTGAAGAGAATGACTTGTGGGGTCTTTCAGCCTCTGAAAAAGTGGGTTCTGGACTAATGAATGATCTAGTATTGGGTTCAAATTTCTTGTTGCTCGGATTCTTTGAAGTAGGCCGAACCTTAAGTTCTTTCCAATGTGAAATATTTTCTACTGGGTTCAAAACAGAGTTGATATACCTGCTCCGGTCTCTAACACTTGCTTTGGAGGAAAAGGGCAGCTCCACGTCTGTATTAGATTCAGTAGTAGTATGATTGGGTTTGGTAACATCGTGAAAGTGTTTACTTTCGCCCTCCATATGAAGAGAAAAGTAAGAATCATAAGACTCCTCTTCATCCCCATTGATGCTGATGTCATCACCTTCATCAAATTCATTTTCTTCATCATCATCTGAAGCTTCATCCTCTTCATCCAAGCCCTCATCATCGCTGCTGTCACAGTTCTGATACCTATGATTTGGAGGACAAGCTGCTGCAATCTTCGATTCATGATTGCACTCTTCCTCTTCCTTATCCTTCTTCCCCTCCTTCGCTTCCCTCACAATCTCACCATCTTCAGTAAAGTCTTTCGAGTCTTCATGAAAAGGCACAATCTCAAACGTGGTAACATGCAGATCAAAAGTCACTTTCTTCCTGATATTAGAAACTGTTCCTTGCTCCTCGTTTTCGCTGGCCATCAAATAAACAAACTTAACTTTTCTCCTCAAGTCGACATTTTTACAAACACATTACAATCATAAACCAAAAGGACAAAATGTTAAAAAGACGGAGCATGCCTTAGCTTTGGAAAAGGGTTAACCGCAGCAGCTGCTGTTTCAGCGATGATTTCAATGCCGGAAGAGATCGAGCGGAAATAGGCGCAGCTCTCCTTCTCCTGTGTAATCGCCCGAGGGAGTAAAAAAACTGAAAATTTAAGCGAGAAGAGCAAAAAAAAAAAAAAAAAACCAAAACCACCATACTTTACAGGTGATGATTTCTTGTGCTTCCTGCACCTTCTACGGCCATTAGAGCCCTTGAAACAAAGAAAGAAGCAACCCATATCGATGTGGGTGAGGAGCGGCCTCCTCACCGCCTTTTCTTTCTTCGCGGCTTGCTCTCTCTGGGAAGGAAGATGGGGATTGGGAGCTATGAATTTAAGAAACAGCTGCTGGTTCTTGAAGAAAACTCCAAGCGGAGATAGAACCGTTAGAGGAAGAAGAAGGTGAGCTATCTTCTCGGCATAGAAAGAATAAATTCGACCGTTACAAAAGCCCTGTTTGGGTCCCCTGTTTAAATGATGCGAATGTATATTACAGATAACAAGTGTTTTAAATTTACAACCAGCTGTCTGCTTTCAGAGCTTCTAGCCGATGCCATCTGAATTAACTCAAGGGAATCTTTCCAAAAATAAAAAGGGAAGCGAGAGATTGAATGAATCAACTATAGTTAAGAATATTTATGACATATATATATATATATATATATATATATAAATGTATAGTATATGATATGAAAGTTAGGGTAATATAAATGTAAGAGTAAGAAGAAATAAATTAGGGGTTGGATATGTAAATATATAAAAATTGAGTGGTATGTACATAAATGCCTTAAAATATTATAAAATATCTTATTAAAAAAACAATAATATATTGAAAATAAGAGACTAAATCTGAATGATTATTTTAATTGAAATGGTCTTTTTTTATTTAATTTTAGGAAAGTTGAGCCTTAACGGTCTTTTTTTTCTTACAAAGAACTACTCATTAGAAAAAAAAAAAAAATTAGAATAAGACTCTGTTAAAGAGATTCTAAATGAAATTTGGTTAAGACTAGAAGTTCTGCCAAAAATATAAATAAGGTTGAGCGCTAGACTAATGGGAGAAATTTACAATCGATAATTGTACATCAAGAATGAGTCAATAATTTAGGTGCGTAAACGAACCGAGCTCGTATTTGTGTTTGGTTCATTTGAAATTAATTGTATTTGAAATAGACTCATGTTTGAAATTGTTCGTTAAAAATTTTGTTTGCGTTTGGTTCAATTTGTTCGAAATAAGTTCGAATTATCTAAATGGTTCAAATTGTTTGAATTATTCAGATTGTTTGATTTGTTCGAAATGTTCAAATTGTTCTAAAATATTAAAATTTGTTTGCATATTTAAGTTGCTAAAATATTATAATATTTATAGTAATCTAACTAATACTAATATATTATTATTGCTATTAATAATTTATTATATATTATAATTTATAAGATTTAATTATTTAAAATATGAAAAATTTTATAATAAATAATTATTTTTAAAATATCCTAAATTTTTTATATATAACTATTTTAAATTATTTTATATTTTGAATAATAATGAATCGAACACGAACAAACATCACTGTTCGTGTTTGAATCGTTTAACAAACCGAACGAAAAAAATTCTTGTTCGTCTTGTTTATTTATCGAACGAATCGAACACAAACTCCCTCTTGAACCAAACACTAACTATTCGAGAACAACGAACTTTTTTGAAAGCCCTAGTCAACATAAATCCTGAGAATATCAAACAAGCCAAAAAAAAAAAACAAGCATAGCAAAAGAAGGAACACCAACATTAGAAGAAGATGCCCAATTATTCAAATTGGAAGACTAACCAAGCTAAGAGAATGACAGAAAGATCGACTTACCCAAAATATATATATATATATATATATATATATAATAGTTCAAACGAGATCCATTCAAAATAGCGAAGAAAATTTTACAAATCCACCCCTAGAGTTCCATCACAATATTTCATACAACATCTGCACATCATCAGCAGCAATAGCATTAAGGAACAATGTATGGCGAACTACAGTTCCTGCTGCCTTCACAGCTAATGCTTCAGCAACTTCCAGCCTCTCCTGTAATACTCTGTCCATTTTCAGGGGATCCACATCCATTGAAGACTCAACAGAATAAACAATTATTTTGTTTTCAGTCTGTACTCCAGCAGCTGAGGAGCTCCAGTTCTGCAACTCTAACGCGCTTAAAACCTTGCTTCCAGCTTCGGTTGCCAGTCTTTCCAGATTTGATTTGTAGGAAGGTTCCGTGAAGCCGGTGAAGTGGAAAGCTAATCTGTTGAACAGCTTTGGAGACTGCTGGCAGAAGGAATAAAGAAGGAACATTTACAGAACAGAACTTCAATTTTCAGGAGCCTACTACCTTACATATGCATGAAAATGTGTATTTTACTTTTTAAAAGTTGAAATGGCATATATGTAAAAGACAAAATTTAAATGATAGATATGTAAATATATAAGAATTGGGTGTTTAATGACATGATTGTATTGTAAGTTTGGAAGAGAGAGAGAGAGAGAGACCTGCTGCATAGCTCGAATCCTTCCACTTTTAGGACCATCATAGCAGCCATGAATATCATGAGTGATCTCATAATTCTCTTCTGGAACAAGGCGCTCAGCTTCCAGGCATGCTTTAATCCCTGCAAAGAGCAGCAAAGCTGAAATTAGGTAGATTGACATGCATACCACTCAATTCCTACGTATTTACATATCAAACACCAAACTTTTATTTTTAATATATATGACACCTTATCTATGCCAAGAAAAGGTGTTTCACTTTTCAAACGTTATAATAATGCTATTTATTACGTCATATAAAAAATTCAGGCAGCACAAATGCAAAAAATAATCAATTTTGTATGATCTTCTTGCCCTTGAGTGTATCCCTAACATTTTAAAAAAAAGTCTAAATTTCTCAAACCACGCTCTAAGTGATTGCTTCAACCTTTATAAGGATTTTTTTTAGTCTGCACACCTTTGTGCCAAACTTCTCGTTAAATCTCGGAGATGTATTCATATACACTTCTTCCTCCAAGTTCAATTTAGGAATTCCTCATATCCAACTGTTGTAAGGGTCAGCCAAGATTAGTTGCAAGTGACAGAAGTGCCCTTATCGAGTTTAATTTTGTAACTGGAGCAAATGTCTTGAGATAATCAATGACATATGCATGAGGAAATCCTTTAACAACAATTCTAACATTGTGCCATTCTAAAGAACCATCAGGATAGTACTTGATTGTAAACACGCATTTGTATCCAATAGCTATCTTTCCTCTGAGTAGATCAATCACTTCTAATGTTCCATTTTTTTCAAGAGTTTTTATCTCCTTGAAAACAGCCTCCTTCCACTTAGGGATTTTTAGAGCATTCTACACAATTTTAATGAACTCCATACACAACAATTGTGAGATAAATCCATAGAAGGCGGGTGAGTGGTGATCATGACGTGTGATGGGGCAATGGATGTTGAGTGCTAGACATAGTATACTTAGAATTTATACTAGGCTCAAAATTTGATGGTGAGAGGGACTAAACATGGGAGAAAGGAAATTCTAAGAATGTTACATGGGTTTGTGAATTCTGACCGGTGCAAATAATTTAAAGACTCATTCTTTGGAGTTGTCCTTTGTCGTTAGTAGAATCAAACAATACCACTATTTTCATTGTTTTTCATGTTCCTTCATTGTCATGAACATCAAGAAATAACACTATAGAAACTTCAATATCTAAAAAAATCGACAAACATTCTATTCTAATATAAAATTATTTGGATTTTAAGGTTGAACAATCAAGATTGATGACCTACTATTTTGAGTCTTCAGTTTAAGAAAAAAAATCCTAAAATTTGATAAACACATTTTTTTTTTTTTGTTCTTTCCTTAAGATGAAATGGAAAAAAGTCTGCAATTTAGAAAAAGTTATGTCCATAACAACAAACATTTTTCTTCAAATTGGGATTAAAACATTTACACCCTTTCTGGGAACATAACCAACAAACATATTTTTTAGATTGAAATTCAAGTTTTCCTTGATTATGAGTGTGAATGAAAGTAATACACCCAAATACCTTTAAAGGAAAGGAAGCTGAACCTGCGATTTTTTGAAAAAAAAAAAAATCTAAAAAATAACAAAATATGTTTCAAAGTTTAAAGTTTTATTGAATGTCTTATTTATAAAAAATGTAACAGTGAGAACAGCTTTACCACAAAAAATATTCGGGTACCTGATTGGTAAATAACAAAGCTCAAGCTACCTCCAATAAGAGATTGTTTAATTTTCAGCCAACCCATTTTACTGAGTGTCAATATAAAAGTTTCGATGAATTATTTATTTTTTAAAAAAGAATTGACCCAAAGTACTTTAAATACTCTTGATCATAACCACTCCATAGTATTTGAAAGGTTGTTTGAAATTAAGTTTGTACCATGGTATAAAAAAATTTTAAGAATAGTTTCTAATTGAAAATTTTCCTTCATTAAATAAACCAAACTTAATCTAGTTTGGTTATCACTGAAATTCACAAACCAGTTTTTCCTAAAGTGGGCAAAGATTTTACAATGTCCACGGATATCATTGTAAATTAAAATAAATGTTAAGTTTGCATATTTGTGGAGAAAATGATACGCGGTGATGTTTAACATTACACATTGAAACAATGGCATTTTTATTCTAAAATAATTTTGGAAATAAGTATTTTAGATAATGAAAACTAGGATGATCTAACCTCTAATGTCATAATATAATTTCATTGTCTTTGGAAAAGGAAACAAAATTAAAACCAAAATTTTGACATTGTCTAATTGAGGCAAGTTCATCTTTAAAATAATAGAGTTCGTCTTCTTTTTTTACACTATCAATCATCCTCCCAGTATTTAATTCTTGAAACTCACAACAAGAAAGATAAAAATTTATTTGGCATTGACGATTATGAGTAATTTCACTAATGAATAATAAATTACATGATAGATTAGGAATATTGAGAGCATCAGGAAGAGAATTGGATGGTTCTTATTCCAACAATTATTAAAGAAGAACCATGAGCAATCTTGACATTTTTGTTGTCTACATGAGATCTATAAGAATAAAAATAATTTTGAACCGTCATATGATCAATTGCATGTGAGTCAATTATCCAAGGATTAGAAAAATTAGGAATAACATCTGGCAATGCATTATCTAAAGAGTTATCGTTTTATATTAAAGAACATGATGGAGTCAAAAATTGAAATAATTTTTGTAAGTATTTTAATTGCTCCTGATAATAGGGGTTGTATTAGAGTTAGCAAACAACTCCCAAGTTTCTTCACAATCCTGATAAGCTCAACCTTCATGCTTGAATTTTGGTTTCCAATTTGTTAGTTTTCCAAGAAGCTTCCAACATACCTCCTCATGTGCCATAATTTTTTTAATACTCGCACCATTATATTTTCTCTTTTCTTTGGCAATATCAACATCCCTTTTGATACAAGAGTTGAGATCTCCTATCAATATTATCAGACGATTTGATGTTATACAACATAATTTTCCTTCTGAATTTTTCACGTCCAATTTCAGAAAAGACTTCTCAAATAGAGGGAGGAGGTTTTCTACTGAGGATTTAACATCAAACTTCATCTAAACTCTGATTAAGGCCAGCTAAGTACATTTAGACTCGACTGCTTTGCTCTCAATTTTTTTTTGTGATAAGCATACTCATTTGAATTCTCCTGAATATCATCATAACATTGATCAAACTCTTATCACAATATTACCAACTCATTGCAATACATAGTAACAACAGGGTTATTTTTTTTAGATTTCAAAATTGAGTTTCAACTTAAAATTTTGCGAAAAAATTCTTCATCCTAAAGAGAGATCACAAATAGCCTACTAAATATCTCGACCTGTGAGAAGAATAGATGTGGCTTTCTTATGGTGGGTTTCATGGAGTAGAAGAGCAAAGCCATAACCAAAGAATTATTGAACAACTTTTTCAAATTTAGATCACAAGCAGTAGGTTTTAAAATTTCGCCAATTTTATGGATTAAGCCCACTTAACATAATTGTGCAGGTTGAGTTTTATCGCAATGAAATATGATGACAAGTTTTAGAGATAATAATTAGCCAATATGGGTGTGGGGCAAGTAAATGTAGTTTCGAAATGATTAGAACCAATTGATGAGGTGGAATTTTTTGGAACTCCTATCATCATTGTTGATTTATAAAACACTCAAAATCTGAATAACATTGTGTTCCTGGCCGCACGAGTTGCATGAAACTCCTTTACATTGCGATCTTGATATCTATTTCCGATCAAGAAGGGTGTGGAACTCTTGTATGAGGCAATACATTCACTTTCCTACATAAGCAACGTATAACACCTTTATGACACGATCTAGATCGTTGTTTTCAATAAAAAATGGCATGAAGCTCTTGCATGTCACAATCTGTCTACTTCCTTGTGATTGTTCAATCGTGCTATAGAAATGAAAAGACATAGGCGGGGGAAGTTGGAAGATTTATGTCGATTGAAACGTGGTCAAGGGTAGTTGAAGAAGCTTCAAAAATGCAGATCATCGCATTCGTACTAATATAGTGTCATTCGTAGTATTCTTAATCGGAGAGAGACAAACCGCTCAACATCATCATGTTATTTTCATAGAGCACTGTTTTGAGTTTTGGCACTGGCCTTCCAGATAATAATTAGGTGATATGTGTGTAGTCTTCCCAAAACATTCATGTGAATTAAGTTTTTATGCCATTTAATTAATGTGGTATGCATGTAAACGTCCTAAATATATGTGCAACAATCATTAAGTGAATCGTGAAACAAAACAAACGGTGGTAGGGAATTGGAAATGGAGTGGGAATTCGAAACATGAAATAATTTAGGCGGATTCCTATTTTTTTTATTGTTGTGATTTTTTTTTTTGGAAATTCATAAAGTTAAAAGAGTGGGAATATGGAAAGATTTGCAGTCATCTCTCTTTTTTTTTAATTAAATTGCTTTTAATGCTAGGCTTCTTTTTAAACCAATAAATAGAGGCTGTGAATGAAAGAAAAATTCACAAGAAAAAGGAGAAAAAGAGAGAGCGGAGAGTGGAGTTCCTCTATTCGTAGATGGCCAATCAGCGTCACCGAAGAAGAAATTCATCTATATTCTGCATAGTAGACAAACAACGGGATCTTCCTTCGCATTGCAGTTGAGAAGAAGTCATCTTTTTCATGCTTAGCAGACGAACAATGAGATATTTTGTCTTATGATGCAAGAAAAAATCATCCCCGTTTTATGTAGCATACGAACAACAGGACATTCTTTCGTGTTGCATTGCAAGATAAAGTTATCTCCGCTGTGTAACAGACGAACAACGGGATCTTTTTTGTTGCAGTACAGGAGAAAATTGTCTCTGCTTTGCGTAGCAAACAAGCAACAAGATGCTCTTTCGTGTTGCAGTGCAAGAAAAAAGTTTCTTCGCCCTGCGCAACAAACGAACAATGAAATCTTTTGTGTTACAGTGCAGGAGAAAGTCGTCCACATAATGATGGTATCTTCTTTCACGCTGTGGTATAAGAGAAAGTCATTTTAGTTTTGCGTAGCAGAAGAGCAACGAGATCATTCATATTGTGATGCAGAAGAAAGTCATTCTCTTCCTACATAACAAGCGAGTAACGGGGTCTTCTTTGGCGTTGCGATCTAGGAGAAAATTGTCCCCAATTTGTGTAACAGGCATGTAACGGAATCTTTCATGTTGCGGTGCAGTAGAAAGTCATTTCTATCCTACGTACAAGGCAATCAACAAGAATTTTCTTTCGCATTACGGTATAAAAGAAAGTTGTCATCGCCTTGTGTATCGTGCAAGCAATGAGATCTTTCATGTTGCACTGCAAAAGAAGTCGTTTCTCATATATAATCTTGCTTCTCATCAAAACTTACTTCTTAGACTCCTCTTCCAGGAGGATGATCGCTTCTCATCGAGTCTTTTCTTCTGAGCTCGACTTGTAGAGATATCGGATCTTGTCATCGAGTCATGCCTCTTCAACTTGACTTCCAGAGGCACGGTAGTTTCTCATTGAGTCTTACTCTTGGGCTTGACTTACAGGAGTAATGTATCTTTCCATCTAGTTTTGCTTAATTAGCTCAACTTCTAGAGGCATGGCAGCTCTCCATCGAGTTTTCTCTCTTATGCTCTGTCGAGCTTTGTTATATTTTTCATTTTTTGTCCTCCCTCATTTTCTTCGACACAGGGCCTTTGAATGCCATACAGATTCGAAGATTTGGTTGTTCAAATAATAAAGCGCGACATAAAAAATGATATACTATCTCGAAAGGCAGAAATATAACTTTGCGATATGTTCAATTATTTTTACAAAAAAATATTGGATATTTGAACTGGTCTGCGATTAAACTAAACAAATTATTTCTCATATTTAATATAAATCCAGTAATTAACTATAGGGGATTGTAGTTTCTCATCAAAACTTACCTCTTGGACTTGACTTCCACGGGCACGGTAGCTTCTCATTGAGTTTGGCTTGCAGGGGTACCGTATCTTTCCATCAAGGCTTTCCCCTTGAGCTCGACTTATAGAGACATAACAGAGTTTTGCCTCTTAGGCATAACAAACTCTTATAGTTAATTACAATTTAAACTATCGAAATTACTTAACTGTGATTTTGTTCCCAAGAAATTACTTAACTGTATTTTAGACTCCATGATTAGACATCGGATTTCCAAATAGAAAATACTAAAAAATTGAACAGTTATTAAAAGATGTTAAAAAAAGAGATAATAAAGGATATTTGAATATACCGAGAAAATCTCAGTAATATTTCATATTATATTATTGTTTGGCATTTAATGTTTTTAAAGAAAAATTTAGTATTTTATTCAGATGGTTTATTATAATACTAACTTATATTGCACGACATACGATCATGCAAAAAACTAAAGATGAGAGTTTACGTCGTAACTAGACAAACAACCTCGGAGTAGAAATAAGGCTTCATACTCATACACAAGAGTAAACAACGTTGATTGTATCGGCATTCTGTGCGTTGTATGGTAGGCCCACAAATATGGCAGCTACTCGTGTCATTGTCTTGTGTTGTCAGTTAGAGTCTTTTTCAGAATATGCACCAAAGTCTTATTAAAGGCTTCAGCTAGGTCATTGGCCATAGGGTAATAAATTGTCGAATATCTCCAAGCTATCACATGTCTAGACAAACTTGTATATTTTTGTGTTTCTGAAGGTTGTACCATTGTTTAAGATTATCCTTCCTGAAACTCTAAAAACCTAAAGACGATATGGTTCTTGAAGAACTGTAAGACGTGGTTCATTTGACCTCTCTGAGTGGTATAGTTTCTTTCGAGAAGTAATCTGGAGCAGCCAGAATAAATCAGTGATCTTTGGAGGATAGAAGATCTATGTGACCCACTATATATGTGCCCCAACACTCAAACGATCACGTCACAATTGTCGGGTGTAGCACGTTTGGAGTTTGGTGCAAGACCACTCAATGCACCTGACATTGGTGACACCTTTTGATAATGTCCAACCAATATGTCATCATTATCGGCCAATAATATCCAAGTCATTTTAGGCCCCAATTGATGTGCATCACAAAAACTTGAGTGAACTTCATTAACAATGTTTTGAGCTTCAATTTTGCTCAACATCGCAACCACATATGATCGAAAAACCTGTGATAGAGAACATTATATACCAAGGTGTAAGACAATGCGCGCTTCTTGATCTAATTTGTTGTGGATTTATTTTTTCGCAATTTCTCAGTTTGCAAATATTCAATAAAAGGCTATCGTTAGTCTATCCTTCGGTAGTTGCTACTATCATATCAAAACCGATTTCGTGAAGGTTGTCAATGTGAGAGAATTTGTCGTCCTTGCACTAAGATCAAAATGTGGTCCACTTTTGGTCATGTTAACTCGTCGCAAGCTTTGCAAATGTGTCTACAAAAAGTGTAACGTTTGGAATTTATTCCAACAACCTCACCGTTTAGCAGTGTTGCTCGAGCTTTAGCTTCAGAACTTTGTACCTTCCAGCAATTTGATTTATAATTAACTGAGAATCATCATAAACGTTGATATCCTTGATCCCCATCAAAATTGTGAGTTCAAGCCCAGTTATGAGCGCTTCATATTCAGCATTGTTATTTGTACACAGCTCAGTCAGATGGTAAGAGAAGGACACATTGCTTGTTCTGAAGTGATGAAGATCAGCCCATCTTCTATTTTACTGTGTGCAATTTTGTATTTCTCTCTTTGTAGCCATACAAAGCTCCATCGAAGTACATTTCTCAACGTTGAACTTGAGGATCCTCTAGCTTTAATTTTTGTTCATAGGGCAAATCATCTTTGAGAGAGAACCCTACCGGTAATGGGTGTGCCACTAGGAAACAAGAGATGAGGCTGCCCTTCTCGTATTTTCCTCAAGCTCTCCTTCCTCCGAATGAGAGAGGTGAGGCTTTATTTATAAAGTTCTAAGTACAATTAATACAGAAATATGAATCATATTGATCGGACGACTCAGAGGGCTTCCTTTTATCAGGCGGCATTTGATGAACGTTTGAGTATCTTAGCGATGCTAGAATTAAGCGATCTTTGGTTTGTTGGATTTGTCTCGCTGAGATATTTGATTCGACTATGAACTTGCTAAATTTGACATCTGTTTGACCTTCCAAATGTATCCGGAAAACTTCCAAAAGCGGTTTAATGTCTTGATCGGGACTTGATTTGACTGAGATTGAACCAATTTTGGTATCATTGAATTCATCTTGTAAAACCAGTCAATTTGAGAATGCTCAAAAAGGTGCATTGAAATTCATGTCATGTCTTGAGATTCATGAAAGAGGTTGGAAATTTGTTAATGGCGTATCATGTTAACATCAAATAATAATTCCAATAGAAGATTTACATACATACCACTCAATTCTTATGTATTTAAATATCTAACATGTAAACTTTAATTTTTTTATATATATGCCACTTTACCCATGAAAAGGTGCATTTCACTAGTTAAAAGTTCAAATAGTGGTACTTTTGAGGTTATATGTATGTACAACATGAAAGTTCAGGTATTAGATATGCAAATATATAAGAATAGGGTGGTGGTATGTATGTAAACACCACTAATTTCAAACAATGGTGATAAAGCATACTTACAACCCACATTTAGAACCCACATTCCATTCAGAATCGCCATGAGAAACTTCATTGTTCTAATGCAGGCTCCATCATCCTTAGTAGCAGCAACGACATGGGTCACGTTCTGCTTCCATTGATAAGTTACAGGCACACCACTCAGCTTCGTAAACTCCTCCATAATTACCTTAAATAATAAGCCAAAAAGACCAGGAAAATGAGAAGCAACCTAAGAGATCAAAAAAATGAGCAGATGATTCAGGTGGCACTTTTGATGTATTAAAGTTTTTAAGGCATTAGTTAAGTAAAATTAGAAATTAGGATGTTAGATTTGCAAAATATATTGTTTTGGGTAGCATATATGCAAATCCCCGAAAGAAAGTGTAACAATCAGTACTCTAATAATAATATAATCATTATTGCAGCCTATAAAATTATTTACAAAAAGAATATAAGCTTCATAGGAGGAGAGAAATAGGTTTCAATAAGAAAGAAAATGCAAAGGAAATTGTCAAGAAGGGGCAATTAATCAACAACTGAATGTAATTAATTATTTAATGCTGCAGCGTTCATTGTATTTGTAATGTGTACCTTCTCCTCCTTAGAGAGATCAGATCCACAAATCAACCAATCCTTACTCACACTAGAAGAAGACATCCAAGCTGATGAAACCGAAGGCTTTCTGACATTTGGTAACATACAGAGCAGTCAACATCGAATACACAGTCACATTCAAAACCATGCAGAAAATAAAATGCAAAGATAAAAATATAAATTAAGATTTTGAAAATGAAAATTACGCTAAAGAACTCTTGGAATTCTTGGGCTTTGTTCTGTCACAAGGCAGTTTTCTTGAAGCGTGATTAGGACAGAGCACAAGATAGTTTGCCTGTCACAAAAAGGCATTAGTAGATAAAATATCTAAAATAATAATAATGAAAAAGTGAGTATTTACATCCATAGCTAACAATTCTTATGTATTTACATATCTCGCACCTAGACTTTCATAATTGCACACACAACACTTAAATATTTAATATCACATCAAAAATGGCACTACTTATACTTTTTAAAAGTGAAATACACTTTTTCATCCATAGGCTTAAAGCACCAAGATGATGTATGTAAACATAAATGTTTAGTTGTGAAATATGTAAATACATAAAAATTGTGTGCTGCGCATATAAATTTCCCAAAATAAATAAAAACTACAAGAAGTTTCAAGAAGAGAGCGTACAGTGTCCCAACGACATTTTAGTATATTATAAGCACATGGTACATGGAAGCTTCTCTTACAGCTCTTGATATAGCAACCAAGGGCAGCGCCCTTCAACCCACAGCTGGAGCATTTAATCTTTGAAGCACGTGAAATTTCAGTCTCCAAATTTACAACCTTCTCACCAGAATAATATACTTGAGGAGCCCTATTCAGAAGAGAATAATATATAAAATGGATCAATTATGAACATCTATATCAAATCAGACATTATAAGCGTGCAGAGCTACATGGTCTCTCTCTCTCTCTCTCTCTCTCTCTCTCTCTCTCTCTCTCTCTCTCTCTCTCTCTCTCTCTCTCTCTCTCTCTCTCTCTCTCTCTCTCACACACACACACACACACACACACACGCACGCACGCACGCAAACACAGTAAACCTAAGCTTTTTGTTGATAAAAAATTTTATCATTGGTGCTTCGAACCCAACTCTACTTTTCCATTGGATCACACTCCACAAAAAGTAGTATCAAAGCATATATGTAGCTTGAATTAAGTGATTCATACAATGTATTGCCCCTTTAATCTCCAGTTCCTTCAAGATGATGATTGAGGAAGTGTGGGAAAGAAATGGTCCGGCTCTCACAAACTACCCCACTTAAAAAATTTTGATCCACAAATTAATACCTTAGCTCTAGACTATCTGTGGGTACTTTGCTATCATCTATTCTTTAATCTCCTAAGTTGCTTCTCACTCTGACACGTTCTTTAGAAGTACTTCGACCAAAAGGAATTGATCACGTTATATACGTGTAGGGCTACACTAATGTGACCCAATGGTACTTCCCTTACTCCAAAGTTGAGGTCATAGGTAAGATCCTCTCTCTCTCTCTCTCTCTCTCTCTCTCTCTCTCTCTCTCTCTCTCTCTCTACTCCCTCCCTCCCCCCCTCCCTCTCCCCCCCCCCCCCCCCCCCTTCTCTCACAAACACCTAAAATAAACCCAAGCATTGTGTTGATAACAATTTTATCATTGGTGTATCTAACCCAATCATGACAAAGAAAGTAGATGTTTTAGATTCGACTTATGTTAAGAAAGGTAGAGGAGGACCTAAAAAGTATTAGGCATATTTAGAGCTGTCAATTTGGCTCGTTGTTCGTGAACAACTCGTGTTCGGCTCGTTAAGCAGCTGGTGTTCGGCTCATTCGTTAAGCCTAACGAACCGAACACGAACAAATTTATAATAATATATTATATATATTTATGTCTAAGTTTAAATCATAACACCTCATGTGGGAATGTGGTTAGTGTCCTTTTTTTGTATAGATTTGATCCAGGTTCAAATCCCACACTTTACATCTCTTTTTTCTCAATTTAAATTTAACGAGCCAATTTCAAGCCGAACACGAACACTAATATTTAAATCGAGTTGAACACAAACACACTGTTCACGAGCCGATTTCGAACGAGCCGATTTCAAACGAGCCAAGCCTGAGCTCGCTCAAGCTCGGCTCGTTTACAGCCCTAGGCATATTGTATTAAATATGATTGTAATTTATTAGAATTAGATGAAAATATGACACTCAATAGGCCAATATGGAGAAAATGGATTCATGTAGCTAACCCCACTTAGTAAGATGAAGACTTGTTGTTGTTGTTGCTTGGAAAATCTAACCCAACTTCAATCTCCGTTAGTACACACTCCCTAAAAATAATTATCAAAACTTATAGTCGGCTAGAATAAAGTTATTCATATAATTTGTTGATCCCATAAGACTTCGTCCCCTTCTACTATGATTAAGGTTTACAAACAAAAGATTTTCACAACGCCTTCATTGGTTGAGTAGCCTCTAGGTGCATATTAACTCAAAAAGTTTTGTTTAAGGGTCAATAATGGCTTATAAGGAGTGCTTTGTGCATGTTGCAAAGTGTTTAAATGAGTAGATAAAACAAAAGGGCGGAAGATTTACATACATAACACTCATTTCTTGTGTATTTAAAAATCTAAAACCTGAACTTCAATTTTTACACAACCAACTTACCCATGCATTAACATGTGTATTTCACATTTTCAAAGTTTAAATGGTGGTATTTTTGTGGGATACGAAAGAATTGAGTGGTATGAATGTAAAAAAATAAAATTTAGGTTTAATATATGTAAATACATAGGAATTAAGAGCAGAGAATGATGTCAATACTTAGACACAGAAAGGTAAAGATGACAATCTCCCATTACAAAGCACGTTAAAGAAACAATCAACCAACACAACCATTATGCTTCTTGGATAAAGAGGAAACATATATCGATAATCAAGAGTTTTAGCATTCTCGCCAAAAGCCACATACCAATCTATGCATTTCTGATGCACATGCACGACATCTGGCTGTGAGATTTGATCACCACATACCGGTAATTCATTCAAAAAATGCAGCATTCCTCCAGAAGCCTGAAAAAAATTGTTACATGAATGATGAGTATTCTAATTTTCCTAGAAAAAAACTGATAATGCCCAGCTGATCAAGATAGAATCAACCACAAAAATGATGAATATTTTAAGAGCGGTGATGGTGTCACCTCAGTAGTTCTGAAGGAATCACAGAATACGCATTTCATAATTGTATTTCCTTCATCCAATTCTACTAAAACATAAAATATATACAAGTCAAAACAATCATGCGAATTACATTTAATGAGAAATTGGAAATGAAGAATGGTATCATTTTGTTTGTACCGTTTGTATGTCCACAGATTGAGGCATTTTTCAACTGATCTTTCATTGACCCTACGGAGTCATTAAACCTTGCATGCTTAGTCCCACAGGTAGGCCCGTCCTCTGGTAACATATCTGCAAACTTCCTCTTTGCACCCTGAGAAAACAAATATTTCCGTTCATATAGAGTACTTCATGTTATAGGTATTATAGAAGACATATTTGCGGATCTTCTAAGCTTATTGGAAGATGAAACCAAGAGGACAAGAATCTAATATATAATAAAAAAAAATTTGCACAATAGCAAGATCTAATCTTGAAAAAAATGAGAATCCAATAGTAACCTACAATTTGCCCTTCTTTATCCCAACTATCACTATCAGAATCTCTAAAATTATCAGTTGGAGGACTTAGTTGTCCTTGATCGACAAAACTTTCAGCTCCAATAATATTCGTAAGCTTTTTGTTATCATGGTTGTCACATGAAACGGGAGTTCTAGTAAACGGTACTTCCAAGTCTGCAAGTTGGGAATAATGTGAACTTCATTCACAAAAAAGGGGGATAAAATGAATTTAAAAGGACAACTATTGGTACCAGAAAAGTCAAAAGAAGAACTTTGCTGCAAAGTTGATATTGCAGAATTCATGTTTTTGTAAATAGTGAGAAATCTGTCAATATGTGTGGCAGGTCTCAAATCTGCAGTAGTTCATTAGAATGTATAAGCTAAAAAACTCAAACTTCAACAGAATTCAGATCAGAATAGAACCTTTTCGTTCATAATGTAATCTGCAATCAGGACAACTGTATGCATCATTTGCTGAGATTTCACTACAATCACTTCACATGCACACAAGTTTATATAAGTAAATACCAAAATAATTATAATAATAATTGCAATTTGTTAATAACAAAGAACCCTGACCTGCACAAAATATGATCACAAGGCAGTAACATCGGCAGGTTCAAAACCTTCAAGCTGCAAGAAAAATTGAAGTGCATAAAATGTAAGAAATAATAAGTTCTTAGCATCATGACTCTTAAATTTAACTGCCTAGATAGAAGACTTGGGACTTGAGTGATTGGCCCTCACCTATTAATTTTAAACCTTTGGATTAAAAACATTATGGGTGCTCTCAACTATTAATGAACACAGCTCTGATAAAGTAATTCCACAAACTACCAAGCATAATCCAATCATTATTATCATCATTAGCTTACACCAAATTATATCGGCCTTACTTCAAGATAGAAACTTTGTTTGGTTTCAAGTACGGTTTGGTGAGGATAGTTAACAGCCAGTTAAATTTATCTCGGGCCACTGTGATTCCAAGCCATCAAATTTACTAAATTTCCCTCCTTTATCAAAAATATTCATTTCTCTTTATCACATCCACCTAAATCCATCGACTCTCAATTAGTACAAAGACATTTTCACACGCCAATTAAAGCATGCACTTTAGTCATACTTGGGTAATAGATAATGCGAATTGTTCGTTTATCAAGAGGAAATCCTGATATTAAAATGAATGGGCGCATACATAAATACCACCCAACTCTTATTTATTTACAGATTTAACAACTAAATTTTATTGTTTACATTTATCCTACCTAAATCTTTCATATCACATTGAAAATACCATGATTTTAACTTTTTAAGAGTGAAAGAGACATTTTCATGTATAGGTAAGGTGACATATATGTAAAAAATTGAAGTATAGGTTTTAGATATGTAAATACATTGGAAAAAAGTGGTGTATATATGAATCTTCCTAGAATGAATAGTTATGAATCAATGTTTATGATGAAATCCTGAACAAGGATTTTAAGCATAAATAAGCATCTAAGTGAGTGCTAGCGAAGAAACTCGTACTTAACCAGAAACCAAAACTATTGAGAAATAAAACCGAAATGGTCAAAGAGACTTCAAGTCAAATTCTCCAGAAGTCCCCTTAAGCAATTATACTGAGGCATTAACTGCCGTTATCAAAACAACTCCATAAGAGCACTCTCTCCTTGAAGCAGCTCAGGAAAGAAGCAAACTTGATGTGCCCAAAGAATCAGAGACAAAACATGAAAGAAAAGTAGAAAATGGTCATCTATACAATCTGTACCTATGACTACTAAAATAAATTAAGAAAATAAAGCTTGATTAAAACCAATATAAAAGAGACTATTAACATTCCAGGGAAAAATTCAGCAATTTTATCATTATATCAGCAGATAAGCACCCTACAATCTCATATAGAACAAAACAATGATCGCCCATGATCCAAGAGGTTCTAAAATGCTTATCACCAAAAACTAATGGCGATTTGTAATATCAGAAGAAAGGGCGAGCTCGCCCATAGCAGCCGCTGCGGCAGGTATAAGAAAACGATAGCAGGATCAAAAGAAACACACTTCCGCCGTAAAGATTTTATTTTTTTCTTTTAAACATTTTTAAACAAAAACAAAAAGTAGGGCAAAGCGTTGAACTCATGAAATCTTCAGGACATTTTTCCAACAGCATATGCAGAACAAACATCAAAAAGTCATTCAAACGGAAGATTTTAGGGTTACCAGGTCGGGCAGTTTAGTTCCAACTCCATCTTTTTCAGATGGAGGACGAAAGGGTTGAGCAGTCGGTTGATGGTCTCGAAAGTCGCCATCTCCAGACCTTCGACTTCCCTCTCAGTCAGCCTCCAAGCCTTCACTCCAAGCGAGAAGGAGGGAGTAAAGATCTTTAAGTTCACACCAAACTAGATGCCGCTGGATATTAGGGCTCGTCTCCCTACACGTAGCTAGCAAGAAGATACATATTTCTGTTAAATATTGAGTAAAGAAAACTCACAAACATCTGATTTTGAACATACAAATCTTCAACTTTTTGAATTTCAAAATACAAATTTGATAAAATTTCAAAAGCCCGCACCCACTTCAGAAGCGGAAGAGAGATGAAGGAGGGCAAAAAAGCGCAACCCCGCGCGGTAGGCTGGCTAAAACTTTCAGTTTTCCCGCCTCCACCTTCAAAGGGAGCATCTTTCACCTCTGCGTCTCATAAAAATTTGGACTGAAGCAAAAATGTATTTCACATCTATAAATCGGTATCATTTATAGCATTTGCTTATGCTCATGCTTGCTCGGAAAAACAAAAGTTTCATTTTGTTTGATTTGTGATTATGTGGCCATAATTTAGCTGGTCTTCATTCCCTAAACTCAAATTAATCTCTGATTAAACCTCAATTAAAACTTAATTTGATTTGAACTTCTTTATTTTTTTCTTTTATGCTCTCCATCTCACTTTATTATTAATTTCTTTAAATTAAGCAATGAAATATACGTGCATTACGTAGAATGTGATATGAGCGGAGCTAAAATGGGGACACTGGGGGCCACTCCCACTGGCCCAACTCAAAAACTCTTATGGCTACAAAATGCTACTAAGGAAATAATGTAAGCTTGCGGTTCTCCGTCCTACTTGTTTTTTGAAGCTATCAGAAGTAATATTTCTAACTGACCAAAAACTTTAGATGCATGTAAATTTATGTACTGATTTTTTGTATATATTTATTTATTGATTATTTATATTATTTTTAAAATAGTATAAGCTTAATATGAAACTTACAATTTCACTATTTTTTTTTATATTATTTCGTAAGCTCATATTTTTTTTTAAATGAGTCTTTATTTTAAAACTCACCTTAGACGTTTATAAATTTATATATTGATTTTTTTGTATCTATTAATTTATTGATCATTTATATTATTTTTTAAAATATTATAAGCTTAATTTGATACTTGCAATTTCATTTTTTTTAATTGTTTTGTTAGCTAATTATTTTTTTTTTATCGATAACCAATTAATTTTTTAATTTGATTTTTTAATTAGTCTTTTTAAGTTGATAATATGAAAAAAAAAAAAAGTAACTTAATTTTAAAATGATTTTAACTATAATTTATTTAAATTATATTACAATTTTATTTATAATTTATATTAGATTTTAAATCAATATCAAGCACGAATAAAATATTTTAACGAGCTTGTTCATGATCATTAAACCATATTGTTCATCATTATAAACAAATGAACCAACAAAATGTTCAAATTTGTTCATTTAATAGTCGAGTATTTAAAAAAATATTCAAACATATTTGATTATTTAATTAAACAATCATACAACATATTCAAGCTTGGAGAGGAATGCTGAATAACCCCTGAGCATCGCCCAACACTAGCCATCGAAATCTCAATTTATGAAAGGCAAGTGTAAGACCCCAAAAGTAGAATGAAATATTTCAAACATTGAGGTGTGTTTTGGGGCAATGATTAGAATTACATTTTGCACTTCATAGTTAAGCAAGCCATGCAGAAGCACTCTCACGATGAGTGAACTTCTGTAAAGCTACACTAATGTACAAAAATGCAGGTCATTAGGTCAAAGCGGACAATCTCAAGATAGATGGGAGTCTGAAGTATTACAAATGGTATTGGAGCATTTACTTCTGGGTTAAACAAACTGACAATAATGTGAAATCCCTCAAGTAGAATGAAACTAAATTCTTAAAAATTCAGACTTTTTTTTGGAGTAATGATTGATATTTCATCAAAAAGTTCAAAGTTAAACATGATCCTGCGGGGAAAAATCTGAGGATGGGTGACATCTTGAAAAAGTCGCATTAATGGGATAAAATTGTGAGGCGTCTAAGTTAATATGGACAATATTGTGATGAATGAGAGTCTGAGTTGTCACATGAAGATGGATAACAACTGCTGATAGACCATGATGACCAATTACATGTGAACAATGACGACCAACGACGAAAAGCAACGAAACTGGCAACAAGATCGCATAATTATAGTGGATGCTTGTTTTTATTTACCATGATATTTTAAATGATGTGCATATAGATAGTCAATTTTAGAAGTTAAACATGTAAATTAATAACAATAAAATTCATCAAAATCAAACTTCAAATTGAATATTTCTACCCAAAATTTCTCAACATAAACCAAAAACAGAAATAGGAGCAGGAAATACACAAAGCTCTCTTATGTTCAAATTTCTGCATGTTATTACTGCTGCATCACTGCGGCGCAATCCTTGACACCATATGTTCAGATTTCTGCATGAGACAAACAAAATGAATTTAAGAAATCAAGACAGCACACAGAAAAAACAAAAAAGAACATTTACATGCATATCACTTCATTCCTATGTATTTATATATTGAACAACTAACCTTCATCCCACCATAATTAAGCATGAAAAGATGTATTTTACTTTCTGAAAATTAAAATACTGATATTTTTTTATGTGATATGACAGATTTGGGTAGCACAAATGTAAAAGATAAAAATTTAGGTGTTAGATGTGTAAATACATAAGAATTCGGTATGAATGTAATGCCCCAAAAAAAATAGTGCGTGCAAAAAAAGGGTAATTTCTTCATACAAGTCGTATTCTCAAGAAAGTGAATGAGTGAATCGGAGCAAGATTTTTTTTTTTTTTTTTGGGTAATTACATATATAGCACCCAAAACATTGCCATTGGCAAAATTCATAGTTCATCTAACACTTATGTTCTCAAGTTTTTCATAAATTACCAACCTGCTCGCTGTAAGGAAGATACTTCCCATCAAAGGTGATCACCACACGATCCTTCCCATCAACACCCTTCACCTTGTCAACAGAGCAGTAGAAATCTATAGCAGACATTCTGATAAAGAAACCAAGTCAGCGATGCAGAAGGATGCAGCACTCATTTATCAAATAGCTGAAGCCATCTATGCACTGAATCACGCTAATGAACTTGGAAATTAGATACCAACAATCTAATTTCATTTTTTTGATAAAAAGAAGAGCAATTTTGTAATTACTTTAGCATGTTATTTGCTTTATGTACCATTTGAGGCACTAATGACTAAAAAAGATATAAAATTGTTGCATTGGAATGTGCAGCATAAAAATTGAAAATAAAGTGAAGAATCTTAGGTTGTCAGGTTCGAGTGCTCAACCTCCATGAATTAACGGACAAGAGAGGAGAAATAATTATGGAATAAATAATGGGTATTTACATATCACGCAATTCTTATATATTTACATATCAAACACCTGAATTTTCATTTTTAAATATATAACACTAAAATCTTTGACATCACATAAGGATAACTATCACCTTAAATGTGAAATACACCTTTTAATGCATAGGTTTTAATACCAATGAGCTGTAAATATAAAAATCAAGTTTTAGGAGTTAGATATGTAAATGCATAAAAATTGTGTATGTAAATTTTGTTACGCCAATTATTTAACCGGTTCAGATGGGACTAGTCGGGCATCAGCCGACCGGCCCACCACATCCAACTAAGGGCCGAACAGCTAAGTAGGAAGGGGAGAAGCGGCGTTGAGCAGGAGCAAGGTGGTCCAGCAAACAAGTGAGGCCCACGAGGACTTTAATCCGGAAAGAAATTAAAGGAGTGCACGGGCAGGGGATGGGTTTGGAGTTTAGGGGGAAATTTTGAAGTGTTTGTGATAGGTTTATATTAAGGCTAATAATCTAGGGTTGGTTTTTCATGTATGTTTTGGCTGAAGTTTTCCTTCTCTTCTCGTAGTGTTCCTAAAGACTTCAAGGGTTTGTGGAGAGACGATCTACCTCTCCAACAATAGATCATTATTGTATCTTGCTTGTTGTCTTTGATTTTCATAAGAGCAGCCATTGTTTGAGTTTTACCACTTATCTATTACAATTTTGTCGTTGTTTGTTCGTTGTTTGTGGTTTCATATTCTATCAAATTAGTATCAGAGCAAGAACTTGGAGGGATAACAACAAAGAAAGTGGATGTGCTAGAAGAAGAAGCGCTGTAAATTAGATCGAGAATGAAAGAAAGGTTTGTCATTATAGAAGACCAATTTTCTTCAATAAAGATCCAAATGGAAGACGGATTCGAGAGTATAAGGAAAATGCAAGAGATGATGAAGAGGCTCATGGAGATGCATTCCAAGGTCATGCCGACCGCTCAATTTGCAAACCCTAACCAAGGGTTGATCAGAGAATCCTTGGCCAGATCAAAAAGAAAAGGAGATCGAAAGAGAGGACAACGAAGAGGACATCATATACCACCAAGAGCGCCCCCTATGACTCCGAGATGAGATGGAGTGGAGACTTCCAATGGAGGGGGTTGGGCAAGGGGCATGAAATAGCATGAAGTGCGAAGGAGATAATCTGGAGTGTGGTATGGCTATGACCGAAGAAAGAAGTTTCACCCTAGACATGGGGGAAATATTGGAGGAAGGGGAAGTTTGGATGAAGATGCAAAGGTTAGAAAACTAAAGAAGTTGATCTTTGAAGGAGAAGAAACACATGGGTGGATGTATCGGGTGAAGCGATATTTTCCGGTCAATGAGTTAACTATGGAAGAGAAGTTCGTGACAGCAAGATTATATTTGGAAGGAAAGGCTCTAGCGTGGTTTTAGTATATGAAGGCAAGGTATCTGATGCATTCGTGGGTGGAGTTTAAAGATTGCTTGTTGGAGCGTTTTCGAGCCATTGGGAAGAAGACTTACACTAGCAAATCTATGCTCTGACTTGTTGACCTCATTTTTAGTGAGGTCTAGTCTTCCGCTTAGAGTTTAGGATCTAGCCTTAGGGATCTCCCTTCGACTATCTTAGAACCTTAGAAATGGGACCCGCCTTGTTCAAGAAATTCAACCCGCTTCGGTACTCTTTTGTGGTTTCGCGTGCATGGTATCAACTTCTAGCACTTAGAAGGGCGAAACCAACATGAGGAAACCCAAAAGGGATTCCCTATAGGACCTTCCTGAGCCTTAGGGTGGCCTTTTGCACAATTTGCACTCCCGCGCGCACAAGCTTTGCAATTCGGAGAGTCGATACGTCCGATCGCCGCAATTCGCATTGCCTGCATTGTTACTTGTCGAATGCTCAATTAAACTTTTTGGGACGATCGATCGCGGGTCGAAATTTTGTAAAATTTGAATTT